GACTGGTAGTGCCACTAATGTGTATCCTTCAGCTAGTACTCCTTCCGGTGACAAATCACTCGCCGATGGGGTGGGCATTAATAAGAGTTTTAAAATGGAGGATTTAGGACTCGTCTGGGAGACGGTAGAATCACTGCATCACTTCTTATATCCAGGTACTTGAAAAATAATCATTATTAAATATTAATGATTCTTTTATATCCATGCAATAAATGTACATCTATTAATAATATTACAACATATGCATGTACATGTACATGTACTGTAATTTTGATCTCTTAAATTCATTTTTCCTGTTTTTTATTTCTCTCTCTCTCTCTCTCTCTCCTCTCAAGATGGTTGTCAGTTGTATGCTCCTGAGAGGGAGCCAGCCTGTGTTCCTCTTGTCCTTACTAATATCCTTGGTACTTGTACTTATGCAATGGCTATCAAGTTCACACGTCCATTCTTCATTGAAAAGGTACCAATACTTGCATGTACATGAATTAATTGCATGTACATGTACATACAACAATAATAATACAATGTAGCTTGATGGATAATGATGCATGTATACATGTAGATTTAAATGCCTAGAAAGTACAGCAGTAAATTAAAGGTAGGTTTAAAATATTACAATAGCCTTGAAGCTGTAATAGAATATTACAGCATCAAGGCTTAAATATTATCTCACAGTTATTTTTTTCATTATTACTTAAAATAACATTATTTATCGTACATGTACATGTATGTGTAGGTCACAGTCTCATGGTAGAAGGAGTAGATCAGGTTCAAGAGAAGTGATGATCCCTCCCCTCTACTAGGAGATCAACCAGTTCATGAGAAGGTCTCTCTCTCCCTCTCCATTCCCTCCAGTTAGGTGTAACACTCATCAGGATAAGCTGGTCCAGTCAAATGAGCAGCTAAGAGTTGATGGGGAGATATGGAGGGAGGACAAAGACAATCAACTGAATTATCATATATTGTATTGGAAATTTTTATAATGAAACGAAACTAGAAATCCAAAACATCACAAATAATGATAATAATATGTATCAATGTAATCAAACATGCCAAGTACAATTATTTATATTTGTTTCTGGCTCTGTCTGAAGATAGAAAAACTTTCACATCAGCTTCTGCTTTTCCAAGTTCATCCGGATAATCTCCACAAACCTCCAGTATATTCCTCCAGGTCACGTCATTACCAGAGTCTATCCATCTCTCAAACACTAGTATGAGGTTATCTGAGGTATACTGAGGGAGAGGTACCAGATCATTCACTTTAACATCAAGTGCAGTGCCAATAATTTTACTATGAACACCAGAATCCTTGAACAATCTGAGGAGGTCACTTTTTACTTCTAACAGGT